AGTTGATTTTGGATTGTTTTGCAGTTTCACTTCCCTCCTGCCATTTATTTGATTTCACTAGAAACAGAGTATTTACTTTCCATTTCTGGTCTTCCTAAGTTAGCTACAGATGGCCCGGAACTGAGGAATCTGCAGATGAAGATAAGTCATATTTTCTGTTATCTGAAATTATAGACACCTGATGTTTTGGAGAAGAGAATTTACCTATGGGTCAAATGTTAATAAAAAAGTTAATGCAGTATTATTAAAATTGGTGTTGATATGAATAAAATACAAGTTGTTTTTGTGTTGTTTTGAGAAAATGCACTTGTCTTTTCTTCATTTAAAAATATAAATTTTGGGGCCTCCCCGGTGGCGCAGCGGTTGAGCGCTGGGTTGCAAAGCTGCCCCCAGCCTCTGCAGCGCCGGTTTGATCCCTGGCTGCTCCCAGGCCACCGGAGGAGGGTCCCACATGGCGCGCAGACCTCTTCTGCGGCCCGCTGCTCCCCTCAGCAGTGTACTTCGGCCTTTCTGCCTGCTCTGCTCCCTGCTCTGGCTCTGGTGAATTCTCTCACCCTCCCGCGCTTCTGACTGTACCCAGTGCTTGTATAAATAAATAAATCTTTAAAAAAATAAATAAAAATATAAATTTTTAGAATTATAACCACAAATAATTCCTGAATGATCAAAAAAGGAGGAGGTCATGACACGATGGTAGAGTTTATGTGTTTAAAAAAAGTGTATGTGGTTTAGAATATGGACTTTCAAGTCCAGGAGATTGAGTTTGAATGATTCTGTGCTTTCTGATGATAAGATATTGGAAAAGTCTAATACTGTCTCTAAGCTCTTGGATTCCTTACCTGTGAAATAATACAGGTGGTAATGATAAAATCCTCCTTTACATTTGTGATGAAAATTAAATGAGATGATGTATTAAAATCCACAGTACACAAAGTCACTGCTCAATAAATGATAGACATGACATAGGATGGTATATGACCTGCTATTTCTTTGAAAACTGATGCAGAATTAACCCAAATTTTGGGTTAACCAGAATATCTTTTCCCTGGCCACTGAGACAGTATAGAGGACTTAATAAATGAATGACTTCTTTTGGAAGGTGCTAAATAGTGGTTTACCACATTTGCTTGTTCAGAGCTAAGACACCATGGAGCCACTCTCTATTTGAATTTCTCATTGTAGTATTCATCAAGGAAATTTTTGTAAAATGGATTTAATCATGTTTAGAATTAATTTGGTTGACATAGATTTAAATTCAGGAATAAAGTTATTTCATTTTAATATTTGTGAAAAATATTACATTATCTACCTATAGAAATATCTTGTAAATAGTTTAATAGTTACATAATTTCCCAGTCAATATTTACACAGATACATAGGGTCATGAAATTCACATTAAAGAATATATACATCTTCTAAGATGCTATGGAATAAAAGAATAAAAAGGAAGTTAAGTGTAGTGATCTGGTGGAAAATATTTGTAAGGCTCTAGATTTTTTTCTCAAGGTTGCTAGTACTGGAAGTGTTTGGATTAATTAGTAAGGACATATGAATTGAAAAATTCTCAGCAATGTATATATTGCAAAAAGAACAACAGAGGTTGATTTTAATATGGCACGGCATGGCCTTTTCCTTAACCAGTTAATAGTTCAATAATAGTTTCCGATTGTTAACCCACATGGCACAGAAGACCTCTCCTGTCTTGCCTGCTGCTCCCCTCAGCAGTGCATTTCAGTCGATCTGCCTGTTCTGCTCCCCACTTTGTCTCTGGTGAATCCTCTCACTCGCCCCACCACACATCTGGCCTACACCCCAGCTCTTGTATGCACAAATAAATAAAATAAATCTTTTTTAAAAAGTTACATATTCTAGTAGATACAGTTTAAAAAAGAAATGTGAATTTTAATAACATATTTCATTTAACTAAATGTATGTCCAATTATTTCAACGTGTAATCAACACTAAGTTGTTAGTGCAGTATTTTATATTTTTTAAAAAAGATTTATTTATTCATGCATACAAGAACCGGGGTATAGGCCAGAGGTGTTGGGGGGTGAGAGGATTCACCAGAGACAGAATGGGGAGCAGAACAGGCATATCTACTGAAATACACTGCTGAGGGAAGCAGCAGGCGAGTCAGGAGAGGTCTTCTGTGCCATGTGGGTAGCTCCCTGGGCAGCTGGGGATCTAACTCATGCTGCAGTGGCTACGGATAGCTTCATAGGTGGCGTCTTAATCCCGTGCGCCACCAGGGAGGCCCCAGGCCCTACATACTTATCTCATACTAAATCTGTTGTGTATTTTAACTTTATTTCAAGTATGTGGCAGCCACATGGGATTACAGTAGCACTGGAGACACAGTTCAAATCTTGCTGAATTACGTAGAGCTCTTAGGGGACGTACTTTGGATTGGGATATTGATATAATTAATCAGGTTGCTTGAACAGCAACAGCAAGTTGGACCATCCTGTGAGTTCCCTAAAACCTTAAGCCTCTCCTGACTTGTATGCTAATTTAGGCCACTAGTTATTAACTAAAAAACTGTGAAATATTGGTAGAGATCACATCACAGCATCTTCTATGCTGTTGCTTCTTCCAGATTGTAAATCTGACCTATCTGCACCATGAAAGTGTGCGAAAAGCTATTGCAAACTTAGATTTTTAATAAAAAGATAAATCCACGAAGTGTGAGGGTGCCGTTTGTATCGTTCACTAAAGAGCTGAGGGATGGGGGAGATGGGATTGATTTAACCCAAGAATCCAGAAAGATGAGACCATCCCCTTCCCCTACCTGACTTGTGTTTAGTGTTTCAAGAAGGCAAATCCAATTAAGGGCAACCAGAGGAATTGTGAAAATGCTTGCTTGAAACCACATCCTGCAAGCAACAGTTGAAAGCACAGGGAATATGGCTTCTGGAGTTGAGAAGCTGTGGCTGGGGAAATGAGCAGATGAGAGGGAGTCAGATCTGATGATCATCTGTATTGGCAAACACTTAAAGGCATGTCAAAAAGAGGAGGAAAAGACAAGCAAACAAACAACAGCAACAAACCCTGCTAATTCAAAGGAGAGGTACACTGGTTGAATACAAGTAAAGTGGGTTCTGAAATGCAATGTAAAAAATGTCTTGGGAGGGCCTCCCCTGGTGGCGCAGCGGTTGAGTGCTGAGCTTGGAAGCTGCCCACAGCCTCTGCAGCACCGGTTAGATCCCCAGCCACCAGCAAGGGTCCCACATGGCTTGGCAGACCTCTCCTGCCTCGCCCGCTGCTCCCCTCAGCAGTGTAGTATTTGGTTGGTCTGCCTGTTCTGTTCTCCACTCTGGTTCTGGTGAATTCTCTCACCCTCCTGTGCTTCTGACTGTACCCAGTGCTTGTATAAAATAAATAAATAAATCTTTAAAAAAAAATGTCTTGGGAGGTAAGCAATTTTCCACCAGGGACGGGGACAGTTCATGATGCTTCTCCAGCTCCAAGAATTGATTTCATCTGTCCCAAATATTAAACAGAGTGGCAGTGTGGCGGTTTAATAGTTCACTGCCTACCTTTAGGAGTTAGATCACCTTGGGCAAGTCTCTTGATGTCTCTGGTTTTGCTTCCTCTATAAAACAGAAATAACACACCTACACTTACTTCTAGGATTATTAGAAGGCTTTTCAACCTATAAAATGCCACATAAACACGGTTCAGTTTCCATGGGATAAACCAAGAGGCCCTTTTAACTCAGTGCTCCTGATTCTTTTTTCTTCTCCTCCCTTTCTACTCTATTTTGGGTTCTGCCTTCCCACACCCAGCTATTCCTGTTACCATCCCGTGGAGGCACCTTATCTTACTGCTGCATTACAGAAAAGTCTACTGTAAGGATCAATGCAGGCTTTTTTCTGTCCCCAGGTAGAGCAGAGCCAACAGCCAAGCAGAAGTCTGTAAGAACCAACATCTACACTTTCGTCCTACCACCGCCATTTCTAAAAACTAGAAATATTTAAAGACACTCCAAGAAATCACAACTTCAAGACTGCTCTGCAGATTAGGAAACCCTTATCAGAGCCATTTAGCCCTTATAAAGTCATGTATTCATGCAAGTCACCCTATACCGTGCACCTACTGAAGTTTACAGCAGAATCATTTATTTTTAAGCTAGTGTCTTTTGAATTCACCTCTGCGAGTGGAGGCTGCACTCTCTTAATCAAACCATCAGCCTGTAGCTTTAGGACATCCTTTCCCCCCTAACAAGCCCACAGGTAACACTTGATAGCCCCTCTTTTTTCCTAACCTGACTGCCCTCCGCCCCCTTCCTTATTTGTTCAAGGAGATAGTATCTGGGATATTGGCTTAGGAGCCTGACTTCAGAGGTGAGGATTCAGTCACCCCCTTGACACGTGATCCACAAGACAAGCTGGTCCCAAGCAAAAGCCTTTGGCACCTCAGAGCCTGGGTCTCCACAACCCATGAGGAGAACCGAATTGTAAACCCCTTTTTATCGGTCCTTCTGGTATCTATGGAGTGAGCCTGCGGGCTCGCAATCTAGCCACACTGGGTAACAGACTGAGGCTTCAGACTGCCTCGCGGACATGACTGAAGTCAACGTCTAGGTCGGGGAAATGCTTAGACACCGGGGTTCAGGGGGATCACCAGGACAAACCCCCTGAGCAGGCCGCGGGCGGCTGCGGGGCTCAGCGTTGCTAGGCGAGGGGCGTGGCCCTCGGACCACGCCGGGGGGCGTGGCCTTTCCTGCGCGGCGCGCGCGACCCGGCGGGGCCAGGGTCAGCACGCGCAAGGGTCGCGACCCTCTCGCGCTGCGTGGACTCCGGCTCCCACTGCCGGCCTCGCCACTCTGCGCATGCGCAGCTGCTGGGCGGCCGGAGGAATGCGGAATTTCAGGAAAGGGGGCGAATGAGACCGAGGGGCGGAGCGATGCCTGCGAGGGGGCGGGGCAGGAGGCGGAAGCGTCGGAGTCAGCTGACCGGGTCTCGTGACGGCCTGGGCGGTGGCGACGCAGGCGCGTTGGAGCGCGGTGGCTCACAGCCTGAGCGAAGATGGCGGCCTCCAGAGCGAGCCTCTGAGAGGCAGAGGGAGGAGGCGCAGGGGGCGGGGAGGCAGCGCGGCCGCGGCACCAGGAACCCGCGGCGGCGAGCTACAGGGCTCCGGCCGGGAAAAGGGGAAGTGGTGCGGGGTGGAGGCCGGAGCGCGCCTCGACGCACTCTGGGCGCAGAGCCGGCGGCGGGAGGACTTCGTGCTGGAGCCACTCCAGCCTCCCGCGAAGGTAAGGCGCTCCGGGCGCCGGCCCCTGGGGTCGGCACTTCTACCCCCCTTCGGTCCTCTCCACGCCGCGGCGACGGGGTCGCTCGCAGCAGGGAAAAGGAGGGCTGGCGTCTCGATCCCGGCAGCCTCCAGCTGCGAAGGGAAGCCGACCGCCCTCCCCCGGGGCCCCGGGCTGGGCTGGGTCTTCCCGTCGGACCCCCGACTCGGGGTGACACTCGCCCAGGGCGCTGCCTGGTTCAGCCCCGTCTCTCATGTCGTCTTGTTGTCTGCTCTCTGGGGTCCCTCACGCCCCTCTGCACATCCTTACCCCACACTCCGCTCCCTTTGGGCTCCGCCCTCGGGATTCCCTTCCAGTTTCTGGTCTGAGCGCTTCTTCCTGGATGCCGGCGGCTCGCGTTTCAGCGGGTCCGTGACCCTCCGTCCCGTCCCCCCCCCCCCACGTCCTGCAAAGACTTTGCCTTTTTTTGCTTATCTTTGTTTCGTTTTCTTGGGAATGGGAAAGTACCCGAGTCCTTTCATCTCTCCAGTCTCTTCCTTTTCCAAAATTAAGTTTTCCCGCAAGACTTTTTTCCCATCTGCAGGGCAGCTTGTTAACATTGGCCTCTCCTGTGCTGCTGTGATTTTACCGTTGGATTTGGCCTTTGAAGTGAGTGAAGTAGGACTTTGACTCTCGGTGAAGTGGCTGTTAAACGCAGATGTGACTTAGTTCACTTCAGAAGAGTGCCTTTCTTTAACTTGTTTCCTTATTGTAAGGTGTTCGGTTAACCACTCGAGATTGTTCCTTTGATCAGTTGCTGGAACTGGGCATGGGGGAGTGGGAGTTGGTGGTTAGGGTGGAGGGGTGAGAAATCTCCCCATATGCGGCAGTGACTCCCAAAGTTGTGCTTTCTCACCTCTCTGCTCTTCCCCTTGAACCCATCCTGATTCCCCTAAAAAATAGGAAGCTCTCCTGCTGACGCTATTACCTCATCTATGATGAGCTTTAATACTGTAGGTTATTTGAGCCTCTTGGACAAGTGTAGTGTCTTGGACAAGTAGTGTCTTTGGGAAAAAGTAAAATTTCTGAATATTGCTTCAGGACCTGCCCTAGTCATTGCCTTTGTTACTCTTTTTTCTTTCTCACTTTATGGATCTGATACATTTCTAGGTTTGAAAGTTTTGTTTGCAGAGTTTGAGGAAATTACCCAGAGTGGTCAGGTTTGGCCAGTACACTATGAGACGATGTTGGTGGGAAACAGGACTTGCCTTTTTTTTTTTTTTAAGGAAATTTAGAAAACTACTTGTTAGAAATTTGGTATCCTGAAAAGCATTATTTCACAATTAGATGACTGGAAAGGGCTTTATTTTTCACTTGATTCATCATATAAGGTAAAACTTTGTTAACATTTCGATGTTTAAGCAGCTATGCCTCAAACTTGGCTTTTGCTATTAATAACAAATGGAACATAAGTCTTTGTTTCAAAAATACTATGTTATACTTAAGTTTGAAAACAGGAAGTAGAATGTAGGAAGGGAGGAAAAGAGGAGTCAGGGGAAAAATCCAGGCACAGCTTGTATTCCTCTGGAAGGCAATGGAGATTCCTCTTTTTCTAAAGTTGAAGTAATATATAGTCTAAAATACATGGACATGATCAGTGAGGAGTTATGGAAAATATGAGTTGTTTGTAGGAATTTACCCACAAGTAGAAGGTGGTTGCCAGTAATATTAAATTTGTAAAATGGCTGATAGTGGAGTCAGGTTTTCAGTAGTTACTGAATTACCAGTGAAATAAAAAGGATCTGTCTTAACTAATTTGGCTCCATTCCTCAACCAGTTCTTTTTACGCAGGTGAATTTGAGGTTTCCCTTGCATGTGTCTTTCCCCTGCTTCTCTCTAATTGAGGTCCCAAAGTAGCAACATAGAAGCAGAGCTTTGCATTCAGAAACCGTAGCTAACATTTTATTGCTACTGATAGTTAGGCCTAAATGTTGATGGTATATATAGCAGTGGTTAAAAGGGAGTTGTTTTGAAAGAGATTCTTTAAGTCAGTTGAAACCAAAGACTCCCTTTTTATATCCAAATAATTTCTAACACTTTCAGTTTATAAATAGTTCATAAATAATATATCTGCCTCTGGCTTTGGAACAAAAAAGCAGCTTTGCTCCTACCATTACAACAACACATTGATTGAGCCCAGAAGAGAGGGGGGAAAATATCTGTTGGGGGAGGGACACTGAGTCTAGGGGAAACAAGAAAATCACACACTCCTGAGACCTAGGCACATAGTGTAAGCCTAAGATGAACCTTAATCTAAACAACAGATATTGTACCCCAACCCCCTGCCATGAAGTTAAGCAATGCTGAATAGCAAGTAACTGCAGAAAGTACTAGGATAGGAACAAGATTATGCAAACAGGTACACCTGCAGAATGCTAATAGAATAGGAGCAAGATTATACAAACAGGTACACCTGGAGGATAGTACGAGGCTAGGAGCAAGATTTTGCAGAGGCATAGCACAGAGTCAGACAAGACACTGCTTTAGAAAACTATCCCCCAGTATAGTCACAAACTAATCCACAGATATTTGAAGCTCATGGAACATAGCAACGTAAACCCAGCCCAGCTCCTTGCAGAGTAACACAAACCCCACACTAAAGACCTAGCAAAGAAAAGCTGTGCCCATTATCAGTTATAAACATTATTTACCTAAGTCTCCACTGTTCTATAAACGTCCAGGTTTTCACAAAAATTTCCTAAAAATCACAAAAAATGGCAAGGCTTGTGAAAAGGCAAGTTCCCAAGAGAGCAATTATACTTAGATTAACATAAATGCTATTATCTGATAGGAAACTTAAAATGACTGTACATTAAGGTACAAACAGAAAAGTGGACAACATGAAAGATCGGGTACATAATTTCAGCTGAGAGAAATTACTAAAAAATAATCAAAAGGAAATGCTAATCATTTCAGTACACAATAAAAAAATGCAGAATGCCTTGGATTTATCAGTAGATTTGACATAGCCAAGGAAAGAATCTGTGAATTTGTAGATGGTAGAGAACACCCAACTAAAACACAAAAAAAGAATAAACCATCTAAGAGTTTGGAGATAACATCAGACCTTTAAATATATGCGTGCCTGGTCCCAGAAGAAGAGTGGAGCATAGGGAATACTGAAATGTTTGCAGAAATAATGGAAATTTAAAAATTTAATATTCAACACCAAGTGACAGATCCAGGAAACTTAGAGAACGCCAAGCAGGACAAGTATACCACCCCTCCCCCCGCCAAAAAAAAAACTACACAAAACACACCTAGACATATATTTGAGCTGATGTTTATCAAAAGGATGAGATGATCTTGAAGGTAACAAACCCACACAGTAACAAATGTAAAAGTTAGACTATGGTGCAGAGCATCTGCAAACAATTGAGTGACTGCCTTAAAAGTACTGAAAGAAAAAAAGCAAAAAATATAAAATAAAGACAAAATATAAACTCTCAAAAGCCAAAAGAACTCATGGGCAGAGGGATATACTTTATAAATACAGATTTTAAAGAAGTTCTTCAGGCAAATGTATATGAACAGGGGAAGGATGCCAGAAAAGAAAGTAAAATGTTTTTTTCTTGTTTTTAAAATTGCTCCAAAAGACTGCCAGGTAAAAACAGTAGCAGTTTACTGTGTGTTTGGATTTTTTGTAAAAGTAGAGCACAAAGGATAGGAGAGGGTGTTGAAAATGTACCGTTTTAAGGTCCTTATATTACACATAAAGCAAAATATCACTAGAAGGTATATTGTTTAATTGAACTTAAAAAGCATAGGGCAATAAAAATGGATATAAAAGAAGTATAAATAACAAGTCATTAGAAAAGATGAACAGAATTATTGAAAACACTCATTTTAAACAAGAGAAGGCAGAAAAGGAGAAACAACAGATGAATCAAAAATGCCTCATATGTATTTTAATTAAACTGTAATTATGACTATATCTGTTAAAGAAATTGTCAAATTGGATAAAAAAATGTAAGATTATACTGTATATTGTCTATAAGAGACACATTCAAAGACAGGTTAAGAAATGAAAAGATGGAGAAAGTTATACCATGAAACAATTAAAAGGCAGTTTGAAACACCTATATTTATAGGCAGAACAAACTTCAGTATAAGGAATATTATATTATGTAATGGTTTATATTACATAATGTCAGTTCTCCAAGATGACATAAACTATAAAAAAGAACTATACAATTTGTAGGAAATGAAACTTTTGGCACCAAAAATGTAATCCATAGAAGAAAAAAATGGACACATCTGACTATCAAATTATATAACCTCTTTGCACTCTTAACCATATCCCTCCTCTTATATAAAACTTTGAAATAAAATAATAGGCTATAACATGATCCATTTTCCTAAAAATCACTCCACTGCAAAATTGCATGATTAAAATCCTCAGGACTTACCAGAAAAAATGAACTGGGACCACACAATTAAAATTTTATCAATGACAGTTTTTACAAAAGGAGCATAATAAAACTGTAGCACTCTTTCATGTACATTAAATGTGTATGTACTACAATAATGGTATTTTTTGGCCTCAAAAAAGTTTGAAAATGAGCATGGAAGAAGTTGCAGGTTGTGAATTTTTGTGAAGCAGTGGAAGGAGTTAATCTGACATTGTAATAGTGTAACACTAGATGTGGATGTATGTGGTTCATTGATCTAACCTGTGCATGTCTGTGGCATATGAATTTGTACGTGGTTTGGTTCATCTGGGTCCAGTTTTCTCCTTTTACCTACTTGTTCTTGGGGATGAAGTCACCCATTAGCAAATGTGAAGTTGTACGTGTTGAAATGGTTCCCTAATATGTAGATCCTGTTGGAATAAGTTTGCTTTCAAAAAACCTTTCTAAGAAGATTATAGGCATTTCAATGTGTGCATAATTCCATATGACTATACCAAATGAAGTTGCCAGAGACTTGCACCTTTACATATATTCAGTTTGATTTTGACAAAA